GTGTTCCTGGTAGGGTCTCCCATGGCAAATTGGTCTCAGGCAAGGGGCCAGACTAAGATTGGTTCAAAAGACCTCATGAAAGACGACACAGGAAGTGAGGATACCCGGCCCGGAGGAAGCCCGGGGTCCCCTTCTGGAGCCAGGCCCAGAAGGAGGACTCGTCGGCGAGCGTCTGGTGGCCGGGCTTGCCACGGAGCCCAGCCGGGCACAGCCCGAAAAGGCAACGTGGGCAACACCTCCGCTTCTCCGTCCCGCGGGCCCACCACCTACGGGAAACAGCGATGGGGTCGGGTGCACTGCCAGAAGGGTGGCAGTGAAAGCAGAGGGTCTCGACGGACCAGACCCGGGCGACAGAAGCTGGCTTTGGGGACGTGGAACGTCACCTCTCTGGGGGGGAAGGAGCCGGAGCTTGTGCGGGAGGTGGAGCGTTACCAGTTGGATCTGGTTGGGCTCACCTCTACGCACAGCGTCGGCTCTGGAACCTTACTTCTGGATAGAGGTTGGACTCTCCGGTGTTGCTAAAGGTGTGAGGCGCCGGGCGGGTGTGGGGATACTCACAAGCCCCCGGTTGGGTGCTTCGTTGTTGGAGTTTACCCCAGTGGACGAGAGGGTCGCCTCCCTACGCCTGCGGGTTATGGGGGGGAAAACTTTGTGTGTGCTTATGCACCAAACAGCAGCTCAGAGTATACGGCCTTCTTGGAGACCCTAGAAATAGTCCTGTATGGGGCTCCTGAAGGGGACTCTTTAATCTTGCTGGAAGACATGTGGGCAATGATGGAGACAGTTGGAGGGGCGTGATTGGGAGGAACGGCCCCCCTGATCTGATCCGGAGTGGTGGTTTGTTACTGGACTTCTGTGCTAGTCATGGATTGGCCATAACAAACACCATGTTCGAACATAAGGATGCTCATAGGTGTACGGTGCTCACCAGAGCACCCTAGGCAGAAGGTCCATGATCGATTTCGTTATCGTATCATCAGACCTGAGGCCGTATGTTTTGGACACTCAGGTAAAGAGAGGGGCGGAGTTGTCAACTGATCACCATCTGGTGGTGAGTTGGGTCGAGTGGCGGGGGAAGCCTCTGGACAGACCTGGTAAGCCCAAACGTGTAGTTCGGGTGAACTGGGAACGTCTGGAGGAGGCCCAAGTTCAGGAGGCCTTCAACTCACACCTCCGGCGGAGCTTTTCGGGCATTCCTGTGGAGGTTGGGGACATTGAACCAGAGTGGGCGGTGTTCAAAGCCTCTATTGCCGAAGCCGCGGCGGGGAGCTGTGGTCTCAAGGCCTTAGGTGCCTCAAGGGGCGGTAACCCTCGAACCTCCTGGTGGACACCGGTGGTCAGGGAAGCCGTCTGACTGAAGAAGGAGGCCTTCAGGGATTTGTTATCCCGGGAGACTCCCGAGGCAGTGGCAAGGTACCGACAGGCCCGAAGGGCAGCAGCCTCAGCCGTGGCCGAGGCAAAGCAGCGGGTGTGGGAGAAGTTCGGAGAAGACATGGAAAAGGACTTTCGGGCGGCACCAAAGTTATTCTGGAAAACTGTCCGACACCTCAGGAGGGGGAAGCAGGGAACCATCCAAGCTGTGTACAGTAAGGATGGGACGTTGTTGACCTCAACTGATGGAGTGTTAGGGCGTTGGAAGGAACACTTTGAGGAACTCCTGAACCCGACAACTCCGCCCTCTATGTTAGAGGCAGAGCTGGAGTATGACGGGGGATCAACACCAATCTCCCGGGGGAGGTCACTGAGGTCGTCAAACAACTCCATAGTGGCAAAGCCCCGGGGGTGGATGAGATCCGCCCAGAAATGCTGAGGGTGTTGAGGGACTGTCATGGTTGACACGTCTCATCAACGTTGCGTGGAAGTCGGAAACAGTACCGAAGGAGTGGCAGACCGGGGTGGTGGTTCCCCTTTTCAAAAAGGGGGATCAGAGGATGTGTGCCAATTACAGAGGCATCACACTACTCAGCCTCCCCGGGAAAGTTTACTCTAAGGTACTCGAAAGGAGGGTCAGGCCGATTGTCGAACCTCAGATTGAGGAGGAACAATGCGGATTCCGTCCTGGTCGTGGAACGACGGATCAGCTTTTTACTCTCGCAAGGATCCTGGAGGGGGCCTGGGAGTATGCTTATCCGGTCTACATGTGTTTTGTAGACTTGGAGAAGGCGTATGACAGAGTTCCCAGGGAGTTACTGTGGGAGGTGCTGCAGGAGTATGGGGTGAGGGGGTCTCTACTCAGGGCCATCCAATCTCTGTACTCCCAAAGCGAGAGCTGTGTCCGGGTCCTCGGCAGTAAGTCGGGCCCATTTCCGGTGAGGGTTGGCCTCCGCCAGGTCTGCGCTTTGTCACCAATCCTGTTTATAATATACATGGATAGGATTTTGAGGCGTAGTCGTGGGGGAGGGGGTCTGCAGTTCGGTGGACTAAGGATTGCACCACTGCTTTTTGCAGATGATGTGGTTCCAATGGCTTCATCGGTCTGCGACCTTCAGCACTCACTGGATCGGTTCGCAACCGAGTGTGAAGCGGCTGGGATGAGGATCAGCACCTCCAAATCTGAGGCCATGGTTCTCAGCAGGAAACTGATCCACTCCAAGTAGGGAATGAGTCCTTGTCCCTGTGTCTTTGTTATTAAAGACACTGCTGCTTCTAAAAGTGCTTCTTACAAATACAAGCTGCTTAGCAGGGTTGGGAGAGTCATATAGTTACCTGTCAAAAAGTGTAATTATTATCCTAATTATCCTCCTGATTACTTTCTGTTACTTTTGGATGACCTCAATATCAAATGCAATGCAAATAAATACAAGAGATTAGAAATATCAATAAGATGCTTTTTACTTAAAGGTGGGGTAGGTAAGTATGAGAAACCGGCTCGAGATACACTTTTTGTTATATTCCATGGAATGCTCTTAACATCCCGATAGCAATGAATATCTTAAGTGCTTTGACAAAAAATCCATAAAAAAAATTCATCTGTGGAAGCCGTAGTACTGTAAAACCAATCCGGCCGGCCCGGCTAAAATAACTGGATGGCCTACCTGCCTGTCAGCCTTCCATCTGTGCACAAACTTATCTCGTGCCCTCATTGGTCATGTGCACGTTCGTGTGTGTTGGAGGAGGGGCTCTGTAAGGAAGTGGCAGATTTTTTCTGGCTGTGTATTTTCAAATTCTAGCGATCTCGAGCTGGTTTCTCCAAAATTACCTACCCCACCTTTAAGTGTATTAAGTGTGTGTTTTCTTTAAATGTAACAGTAATCTGATTACGTAATTTTGCATTAAACTGTAAGAAATGACAGTTACCTTTGTTTTGTAACCTGTTAACGTAATCCTGTTACATGTAATCCGTTACTGTCCAAGCCTGAGGTTATCTCAATTGCTCTATTCGACACTGGACATTGTATGAATAGTTGCTCATGGTGGCTAACATTTACACTTGATATATTTGTATAAAAAAGTACACATTAGCCAACAGTTTCATATTTACACATTATATAGACACAGAGCAATATTATCATTCATTTCTATTCATGTTTGTGACCACGTGGTATTTTATCCACCAGCCCCTGCAAAAATATATGTTTTCTTTATCCGCAAAATTATTTGCTCTGTTTACCAGCTCCTCTCTGTCTGTCTGTTTGCTGCTCAGCAGGTAGTGCACAGCGGCTTTGTCAGAATCTTTTTTCAATGTAAGGGCAGCCGAATCCAAGGCAGTAAAGCTGTGGGAAGTAGAATCAAAGCGACAAACAAATGGATGCAAATGGGATGTCAACCAAAAAAGGGTTTTCAAAATAAAAAAATAATTGCTCCCCTCTCCTCTAGCCGACTCTTTCTTTCTGTCAGCTGACCCCTGTGACCATCACAATATTAATAATGTGACTAATATCATTAAGAGTTTTAGAAAAGCAGCATTGTGTTACGGTTAGGGTTAGTCAGTCAGCTTTTTAATTCCACACAAAACTTTCACTTCCAGCAAGAATTCATGCAATTGGCTAGTCACAAGGACAATACCAAAGGTCTACTTCAAGTTGATCTGTATAATGAACACTGAGCATGCATGCCATATTTGTTTAGACACAAACATTGATGTAGTGTTGGCAAAAGATTTCTTGTGACACATAAGCTCTTAAAGAGGACATACGGTATTCTGCTCATTATCAGGTGTATATTAGTATGTAGTGTCTCTACTGGAACATGTCTCCATGCTTTAATGTTCAAAAAGCTCTTTATTTTTCTCATACTGTCTGTGCTGCAGCACCTATTTTTCACCCTCTGTCTGAAACCAGAGCCCAGTCTGCTCAGATTGGTTAGCTGGCTGGCACTGTTGTGATTGGTCAACCGCTTACAGATTTGTCGGAAATGTCCCCCCCCTAAGCCTATCACGTACAATGTGTTGGAGTGCTGGCCAATAGAAGCGCACATGTTACATAGTGATGTCACTATGTTACAGAAGTAAACAAAGGAGTCCGATGGAGGCGTTTCAAGCAGGAGGGGGAGTGTGTGGGAGAGAAACTCCCTCTGGAGAGAACACAGGGATTTTAGCCTTTGCAGACCATTTACATGCACGAAAACCTTTAGAACACACTACAGGAGAGGGAAAACCCCAAAAAGCAAAATCGGGCCTCTTTAGTACCCCAACCATATTTGATATAATCATTGGAAGCCTGAACATACCCTAAGCCTCTTATGAATGAATTAAAGCAGCTCTGTGTCACATTTGACTCACTCCTCCTATGTTATTTTGAATGAATGGGCGAAACACTTCCGACAGAATGCTTGCGTTGGAATTAGCGCGTCACATACAATCTATAGACACACACACTCCTCCTCCTGTGTCCAGGTGGAGTGTGTCTATGTGGGTTTGATGGGAACAGCAACGTGCCCTGACCTGCAGCTCAGCCCATCTGACCGCCAAGCCTTCAAACAGATCCCAACACGTCCTGCAGCCAGCCCACCACGCTCAACATGACTCACTCCCCCCCCACACACTGCACATTGTTCAGTCCTTCACATGGCGGTGGATCACATACACAACATTAAAGCATTCGACTTTGAAAGCTGGTTTTAAGGAGCCTTTCAAGCTGAGAGGTAAATACTTTTCAGGTTTATACAATCTGTATGTGGGTGGGTGTCTGTGAGTGATGGCGGAAGGCGGAGGAGGGCAAACAAAGGAACTTTAGAGAGGAGAGGTGAGGTGATTCTGAGGTGTGGTAGAACATGCCGGCAGCTGTCATGCTCCAGTGTGCGTAGACTGCAGTTTTGTCACTGCAAATTCATGTCTTGAAAGGCTTTGGGAGATTCATAGGATGTTTTATTCCAACATTTGAAATCCATTAATTCAAAAGTTTCTGTTTTATTCTTCCCTCCCTCTCTTTTATTTGTCTTTGCTTCTGCCTTCAGGTGTCTTTTCTCACAGCTGTTTGAATTATTTAATATGTGTGACGTGTTCTACATAGAAATAAAGTAACAATAATGGTATCTGAGGTAAAGTGAAATTGAGGAAGCCCTAAGGGGGCCTGCGGTGACCCTTAGTGACCCCTTATATCTACACACAACAAACCACGATGCAATCTGTACACTAATGTAGCTCCATATACTGTATATATATATGGAGCTATATTTGTGTATCTATAAGGAGCTGTTATTGACTGCAATTTCTCCACCTGTCATGTGGTGGTCATATGAGCCTCATTGATTACATACAGTCTATTACGCAACATACTGTATGTATACAACATTGGTTTACTGTGTAGGACCTTAAGGGAAACTCCACATGAAAAATGTAGTGTGTGTACGTGTTTGTGAGTGTGTGTGTGTGTGTGTGTGTGTGTGTGTGTGTGTGTGTTTGTCAAACTGAATCATTGGGTCACAGAGCCACTACAGCTGACATACTGTAATTCAATGTTTTGCTGCTTTAGGCTGCAGTCTCTCTATTGGCCACTAGGAGCTGAGTCCATGTGGTAGGAACAAAGTATTTTTTAATGAATATTTTCGTGCTTATTATTTTTGAATACAATCCGTATAGAGTGGTGCATGCAGGAAAGAGTTCTAACATGAAATGAAGGTCCCTCATCTTGAAGTCAACCTTTTTAAAACGTGTGGTTAGACGCCTGCAACTAATTATGTGGTGGACACAAGATGAAGAGTTTTGAGTGTCCGAAGCTTCTATGTGTCACAAATACTGTGGTTGCTTACAGAACACCTACAAAAGGTAATCACGCCGACACGTCCATCTTTAGCTTAGTGGTGTCGATGCACAGCCATCGACCCGTATGTAGTTTGTTTATAGCTAGGGGTGTAACGGTATCCGTATTCGTCCCGTACCGTCACGGTTCGGTACATGCAGTCACACGACGAATACGCCTTTTTTTTTACGAGTGGGAGAAAAGTCTGTCATTCAGGGCAGTATCCATTACACTATATATAATCCAGGGGGCGGTATTGCACCTAAAAGCTGTTTGCCAGCCGCCCTTAAACAACAAATGAAGAAGAAGAAAACACAACAAAACGAACAAAATAAAAGAAGAAGAAATGTTAGTATTGCGAGTTCAGATAACACAGAGGGTGTTTCTCAATGTCGAGGAGGCTTGCTTGGTAGCACATGTCTTCCGAGTCACTTCCTTCAGAAGCTAGGCAAGAATCCTTCCTGGCATTCGGAAAACGAAGAGTGGAACAGGCGAGCAAGTGTGCAGGTGTGCGTCATATGAGAGGCCCCGCCTTACATTTTCCGTCACAGATTTGGGGAAATTGGTCCATGCGCAAAGCATTGTGGGGATTTTAAGACCGCGGAGTCTACACATGTGCAGCCTCAAAATGTATCGCTACGAAGTACGCCGGCCTCGGTAGAATTCCAAGTATGCTGGACATTGGAACAGTCCTTCGGCGGCACTCGATGACGTAGTATGCTTGAAATAGTGGCTCTGGAGCAGCCTTCCTCGACATTGAGAAACACCCACAGGAGCTAGAAGACCCACCTGCTTCTTTTAAATCAGCTGTGTAGGAACATTTCAGGTTCCCTGTGTACTACAACAACGATGGAGAGCGAGTGGAGGATCGGACGAGGACGGTGTGTTGGCGTTGTTCAACAGCGGTGCGGTATGCTAATGGTAACACACGCCAAACATGCTAAATCACATCAGAAGACATAGCCCAGATTTGGCAATCACCGGAGCCCGGCAAAAGACAACAGCAGTTCAACAGCTTATCCCCGCTGCTTTTAAGAAGCCAATAGACATGAGAGCCGAGAGACCAAAAGAAGTAACGGAAGCTTTTGGGATATATATTTCAACGGCTATGCTGCACCCTTATGCAATAGTAGAGGACCCCGGCTTTTATTGATTGTGATTGACGTCATCACTGTACCACCTTATTGGTATAAAATATTTAAAATGTTCTTCCAATGACAACATGGCAGCAGCATAAAGGAATTTCATTTTATGTTATGTGATCAGTATAAAGTAAAAGCGGAAAAAGACAGATCAGTGGTTTTATCTGTGGCGCTGCAAAGAAAACCAGATAATTTCCCGTTGAACAGCACAGGACACACTGCATTTAGATTTCCACAGTTACTCCTGCAAAGAACCATGTTCCTCTATAGTTACTGGGGATCAAATCAAATCAAGTTTTATTTATATAGCACATTTATAAACGATTTTTGTGCTGTACAAATAATAAAAATACCCTACAGTAAAGACATTTTACAGCTAATACAACAGCACAGTTTGTTCAGAATATCAGTATGAGAGAAAACGACACCCTCTGTCCTTAGACCCTCACATCGTACAAGGAAAAACTTCTGGAGAAAAACCCACAGTTTAAAGGGAAAAAATGGGAGAAACCTCGGGGAGAGCAACAGAGGAGGGATCCCTCTCCCAGGACGGACAGACGTGCAATAGATGCTGTGTGTAAATCGAAGAGATAATACGTTTTACAGCGTAGGTAGATAGACCGAATTTAGGAAATGCATGTGTCTATAATAAGAAGATGAATCCACGAGGATGTCAACAACAATCCTGTGGGAGCCATCAGGGAAGCAGCATGACGAGAGCCAGGCAGGACCGCAGAGACAGGCCCAGCCACGACCCCAAGTCCACGACTTAATCCAGAACTCAGGATAGAGGATCCAGGGCAGGACCACAGCAAGAGGATCAGCCTCGACTCCGGATCCCGGCGTCGATATAGACACAAAAGAAGAACAATTTGGCTGGGTTAATCGGAACATGAGAATACACAGACACAGACAGACAGAAGGAAGAACAAGCACTCCCTTAGGATAGGTTGAGGGAAAAGGGTAGCAAGCAAGAGAGTAAGAAACAGAGGTGGAGAGGCACACGCAGGGAACAAAGGCCCCACTGGAGCCTTAGTTGGAAATTGGTGAGAGATAGGGAGGTACGCTGTGTCTACGAATCGTAACACTCCCCGGCCTGAATAAGCCACTCTGCAAACCTGTTTCCCTCTAATAAAACCTTGAGAGGTTAGAGAGGGAAAAGGTTTTGGATAGAGAGGATAGAAAGTATCGATTACAGGAGTAGAGAGTATGAGAAGTAGAGAGAGACAAGATTTAGAAGAATGAGTAGTAGTAATAACCTTATTTTTCAATATACGATCCAAGTTTTTAGGATTTAAGTGAAAGAGCAAGGACCCAAATATAGGTGAAGAGGCACAGCGTATCTACGTCAATGCAGTCTTATTAGATTATTATATCAGCTATAAGCTTTATCAAAAAGGAAGGTCGTAAGCGTACCAATAAAACGGATAGGCTATCGGCCGCCCGAACACAAACTGGAAGCCGAATTCCACAAAAGTGGAGCTTGATAAGAGAAGGCTAGAAGGCCAGAGAGAAGAAGTGAGTTTTAAGTGTTGATTAAAAAAAACCTAGGGTCTGGGCCGACCTCACATGGAGGGGCAAAGTATCCCAGAGCCTGGGGCCCGCTGCTACAAATGCTCGGTGCCCTCGGGTTTTAAGCCTAGTCTTAGGCACTATCAACAGCAGCTGGTCGGCCGACCTTAAGGCTCTGGCTGGGTTGTAGCGCTGGAGGAGTTCGGCTATATAGGCCGGAGCCAGCCCATTTAGGGCTTTGAAAACAAATAAAAGGAGTTTAAAATCTATTCTGAACCGAACTGGAAGCCAGTGCAGTGAGGCCAGAATTGGGGTGATGTGGTCACGCTTTTTATGGCCAGTGAGAAGACGTGCAGCTGCGTTTTGGACTAGCTGCAGACGTCTAATTGAGGCCTGGTCCATACCCACATACAGAGCGTTGCAATAATCCAGTCTCGAGGTAACAAAGGCGTTAATAACCCTTTCTAGGTCTTTAGGGTAGCGACCTATGGCTAAAAAAATGGCTGTCCTCTCCCTGCTTTTAATTGAAAATGCTTGAAAAAACAAACAAATGTGTTCATATAACCTAAGGTCACTGATAAAATACCATCCAAAAATGTTGACCCCCTGTATCATGTCTGTTTTTACTTCCTGTCTCTGTGTTTTCCCTCCTGTTTGAGGTTATTCTTCACATCTCTCTTTCTCTCTCTGCTGTAGGGGTAGCAGCTTGGCCTGTCAGGGATTATGTTGGGAACCGGAGGGCTAAACCATCTTCTTGAGTGACGCCATTCATCATAAACTGCCCTTCGCATTGAATTTGAGGATCTGGTCTGGCAATCTATTGTGGAATGTGAAGAAGACTTAAACCGTGACAACATTTTGGATTGGATTTTAGGATTTTTCCCGCTTCAGATCAATCTAGACTGACCCAGTCACTTTCCTTAAACATTTTCCACTACTACTGAACTTTGACAAGAGGAAGTTCTCAGACTGTATTCGTGGTGTGAGGTCAGCAACAACACATCTGTCCAAACTGTGGACGTGTCTGTAAGCGATCAGCAGTGATGGAGTCTGTGGCAGCCCGGATGGCCATGGACACCGACTCGCCCAACCTGTCCCTGAGGTCCAGGACTACCGTGACCACGGACGGAGATTCTTATGTGAGCACTTCCAGCCTTCCCTGCAGCCACTTCCTGTCCGCCAATGTCATCAATGTTGGTAAGTGTTGCTTCTGTGAGAAAGCCGTGCGTGGTGATGAGTGCTTGTGTTGTTGATGAAAAGTGACAAAGTGCTGGAAGTGTGAGGATGTTTCGCTGAGTTTCCTCTGCTGGCTTGTGCTGTGTAATGCTGTTTAACTTCATGCTTGTTGTTGGTTGGCTCAAAACGAGTTGGGGTTCAGCATGCCTTGATTTCAAAGGGGAAATCATTTGAAAATGTGATTATCTTATTGATGAACACAGGACAGACTTTAGAAAAGGCTTATGAAGGTCTGACGGTGATGTCAGGTAGTACAGATGTCTGCTGGAGGCAGCAAGGTGCAGGAAGAGCTGATTGTGTTTAAGAAAGGTGGACCAGGTAATGATAAGATGATAGAAACACATGCATCTTGGATGGATTGGAAAATGTGCTTATGTACAAAAAGATATTGTGTTAATGTGGAAGACACATTTGCCCTTTTCCATTGAAGCGGTTCCAGGGCATGGAGACATGCCATCCCATGTTCTCCTTAAAGGTAGGGTAGGTAATTCACTTCAGAAACACTTTTTGTTATATTCCATGGAATGCTCTTAACATCCCGATAGCAATGAATAAATGAAATGCTTTGACAATAAATATATACAAATATCTCATCTGTGGAAGCCGTAGCGCTGTAAAAAGCAAGTCCAATTATCTGCCTCGGCCCGCGGCAGATAATTGGATGGCCTACCTGCCTGCCAGCCTTCCATCTCGTGCACAAACTTATCTCGTGCCCTCATTGGTCATGCTCGCGTTCGTGTGTGTTGGACGAGGGGCTCTGTAAGGAAGTCTGAAAGAAGGGGCAGATTTTTTTCGGTTGTTTACTTTCAAATTCTAGCTTACTCGAGCTGGTTTCTCCATTCTTACCTACCCTACCTTTAAGTAAAGGGGAGGTCCGTTGTACAAGACCCTGAATTTTGTACCTGTTCTTTTTGTTTTTTTCCACTATCTGAATGTTATGTGTGAGCAAAACAGAATTTCAGCTGCAGGATAGGTATAAATCTAAAACGACTGTTGACTGCTGTTTAAAAGTTGGAAAGAAAACAAGCTCTCTGTCAAACACACATTTATGACACCTAACACTTGTTGTTCAGCAGGATAATCTCCACATATTAATACCACTTTGTGAACTTGGAAGTGTAAATGCAATTGACTGGAGTAAAAAGCTAACGCTAGGCTACAAACAAACTACATCACATTTGCATGGCTGCACATCACCACCGCTAAGCTAAAGGCCGACTTGTGTCGGGGTGATGACATTTAGTATTTTATTTAGTCACTTGTCAGCAACTGCCATGTAATGACACTTTGAAAAACTCATAAAAAAAAAACGCTTACTTCAAGATCAGTAAACAGCAAGTTGTAAATTGCTGACTCATTTCATTCCATGCACCAATCCATAGAGTGCCAGAGTGACTCGTCCTAAAACCCGGAAGTAAACTCCTTCCGGTTCCTTCGACAAAAACCTGTGGTAGACACAAATTGAATAGACAGATCACGTTTTGTACATGTCTACCCTACTTTTATAATTTTCTAATCATAAATCTATCGATCATAAATCTATTGATTAGATTTATGATTCGAAAATTATAAAAGTAGGGTAGACATGTGAAATGTGGTCCAGATGGAACCAAAGTGTGTTTGTGCATATTCCTCTCTTTGGTGAATAAGCTCCCTGATTGATTCTCTGGTCTTAACAAATATTAGCTGATGTTGAGAAAAGTCGCGGTTAAATTGAACTGCTTTTCAAAAGTTTTCAATAAGTGATGATCCCTCAGATTTTCCTGCTGCCAAGTAGTTTTGTTGTTACAGTGCAGTAATATCTTATCATGTGCTTTACCTTTTGGATTTTCACTTTGGCAAGTTTCCAAAATTCTGCATTGTAGCTTAATCAAGCAAACGTATTTATTCTTGTCACAGAGTTGGATAGAGTCCTCCTAAATAATGAAAGGATTGCAAAGGTCAGGAAGCAGCGTGTGTGTTTCTGGACAGGCTGAGTGTTGCTCTGCAGACCAGAGAGAGCGGCTGATTGATCTGTCTGCATGGCTGAAAAGGACACACATCACCATCATCAGAGAGCGTTTGGTGCAGAGCTGAGCTGCACGAATCAACACATTTACAGCCAAACCTTTACAATTAGATTTATTTTCTAAGGATAAAATATACGGGACAATTTCAGTGAAATTTGACATTAGGGAAATGTGAAACAGTGAACAGCACTCCAAACTGAGTGATTAGAGTAAGACTATCATTTATCAAACTAACATTGACTATATAGAAATAAATGACAGTTTAACCTGTTAAGCCCGATGCCCCCGCGGGCAGGGGCACAACACAACAATATTTACGAAACTGTGTCTCAGGGCTTCTTAACATTTAACAACCTATTAATGTGTCATACCCACTTAACGGGAAGAAACTCAGCTATCAGACAATATTAACAATTTTTTGCTAAACGAAACACAAGGGTAATACCAAGCCTCTGACTTAGCACTAAGCGAAGAAAATGCTAACGCACTTAGCACATAACTCACAGTAGAGATGTTATACTTTGTGCAATCTGCACAAACTAGATATCATATGAAAGCTGATATTCCGCAGATTCCAATGGTATAAGTATCCTCACTGTGCGACCAGAACTCACGGCAGCGAAAGCAAGCAAAGACAACACACAACTTCACTTTACGGGGCCAAAACGGCAAATACGCCTTACCTTTGCTGTTTTCTGATCAAAAGTTGTGTTCAAGGGCATTAAAACGCATATACACGCTGCTGAAGGTTAATCCAATGTCTCTGTGTCACTTTGCAATGATTACTGATAATCCATCATAACATTTATGTCAATAAACAGAGTTTTCATATACACAAAAAAAACTGACTTTTTGGTGTAGTAAAATATATTGAATTAACTGTCATACTTTTTACATGGTAATATCAAGATTCACAAAGAACTAGAATTTCTTAAGTAACATTTTAAATGTATACACCTTTTATTCATGTAATACATTTACAGTGTGGGAGGAGTACGTTTTATTATATATTTACTCATACTATTTAAATGATTTATAGTCACTGCTCATAAACCTTAAAATACTAAGTAAATGTTAATCTAAAACCATAGTAGCTGTTTGAATCCGCGCATGCGTCTTGACAAGACAAGATACCCGCGATTTTGGACAACGGTTCAGTTAGGTTTGCACTTTGAAGGCTGTCGGAGGAGCTGCATGGCTGGAAAAATAAGTGTTGGTAAGTTATTGTCTCTCTGTTTAAGACTTATGATAATATATGTGTCTTTGTGCATAATAGCCTGATTCTTGTTTGCTTGAACCATGTTAACGTTTCTGTGCATTAGTTCACAAAGTTGAGAGATTATGTTTTAGATATGTTACGTGCTGTTAGCTAGCTAACCTTAACTGTAATTTACCAGATAATTAAAAAAAACACTCACATGCATCTAAAGAAGGTTCCACGTTTTATTTCACGTCTATACAACTAAGGGCATAACAGTTGGAATAGCATTGTCAAAAGCAGAGGAGAGGAAAAGTAATGTTAGCTGAGTTAGCGTTAGCCGCAGTTTTCCAAAATTAGCTTTGTCATCCTGTCAGGTTATGGTTACAATGGATAAAGAAAAGACATGGACAGAATATTTTTAAACATTCAAAAAAATATGTACAGAAACCGAAGAGGTTACAGTGCTTGCATTATGTCAAAGACGCCAATCTATTGTGTTGTATCTATGTATATCTATTAAGGGTGTAATGGTTCACAGAATTCACGGTTCGGTACGTACCTCGGTTTGGGGGTCACGGTTCAGTACGGGTTCGGTACAACAAGAAAAAGCAAAAAAAAGTCCCAAATGTATCATTCCAGGTTTGTTTTTATTTATTTTGAACAGTAGTGCAAGTTTCAGTTTAAAAATAAGGAACTTTAACATTTTGAATAATTAACTTTATTACACAGTTAAAAACAAACCACAAACAGTACCACACACACTCAGGTGGCCATATTATCTATAATGGCTGATGTCAAACAAAAAGGTTCAATAAGCTGTAAAACTAAAAAGAATGTCTTGAAAATATTACAAAATAAATAATAAGAAAGTGTTTCAATCACAATCAATAAAAGCCGGGGTCCTCTACTATTGCATAAGGGCGCAGCATAGCCGTTGAAATATATATGCCAAAAGCTTCCGTTACTTCTTTTGGTCTCTCGGCTCTCATGTCTATTGGCTTCTTAAAAGCAGCGGGCATAAGCTGTTGAACTGCTGTTGTCTTTTGCCGGGCTCCGGTGATTGCCAAATATGGGTGATGTCTTCTGATATGATTTAGCATGTTTGGCGTGTGTTACCATTAGCATACCGCACCCCTGTCGAACAACGCCAACACACCGTCCTCGTCCGATCCTCCACTCGCTCTCCATCGTTGTAGTACACAGGGAACCCGAAATGTTCCCACACAGCCAATTTAAAAGAAGCAGGTGGGTCTTCTAGCTCCTGTGTGTTATCTGAACTCGCAATACTAACGTTTCTTCTTCTTTTATTTTGTTCGTTTTGTTGTGTTTTCTTCTTCTTCATTTTTTGTTTAAGGGCGCTGGGCAAACAGATTGTAGGCGCAATACCGCTCCCTGGATTATATATAGTGTAATGGATACTGCCCTGAATGACAGACTTTTCTCCCACTCGTAAAAAAAGGCGTATTCGTCGTGTGACTGCATGTACCGAACCGTGACGTCCGAACCGTGACGGTACGGGACGAATACGGATACCGTTACACCCCTAATATCTATAGATATATTAGCTACTGAAATTAGCATGCTAACTGACTAGCCCTGGCTTTGTAGTACCACTTGTTACTCGAGAGGCGATAGCGAGTCACTGTAGCGCCAGTCTGCCCCAACATGAGAGGACGAAGAAGTCGAGTTGGCCAGAGGGCTTGTCCTGTGCGTTTTGAAAGTAGTTTAATGTATTAAAGTTAGTGGCAGAC